AAAACTCCAAAACTTGACTCATGAAATCAAACAAAGCACTTAATACATGAATCTATCCAAGGCCCCAAAAAGACATCTTAACTCAATTCCAACATTGCTTCGTCTGACTATAGATTCTGTACTTGGCACTTTTATCCCGTAATCTACTCTATGTCCCAAGCGGCCAGGAACGGATTTCGTTTTAGCCTTTACTGTTATCAATCTCTCTCTCAGTCCGGTAGAACACCTGAGAGATTTGTTTGTTTGAATGTGCTGACTGAAAATATGCCTTCTCTCCACTGGCTCATTAATTTTTGCAGTTGGGTCAGGTGCTGAGCTTTTCTTAGGCTCAGAGTCCTGGGAATTCTCTGGTAGCAATTCAGGCCCTTTTCCAGGGACCGTACCATCATCCCCAAACTCTTCAGGGACATTTTCATCAGAAAAGACACTTTGAACAGAATTCCTATTGTCATTCTCTGCATCTAGAGCAGGGGTCCTCAAATAAGGCCCGGGGGCTGGATCTGGCCTTCCGAGGTCATTTACCCGGCCCTTGCTCAGGGTCAACCAAAAGTCTGAAATGACTTGAAAGCACACAACAATCCTAGCTCATCAGCCAAAAGCAGGCCACAGTTCCCATTGAAATACTAATAAGTATGTATTTTTAAATTGTTCTTCATTTTAATTATTGTATTCTTTTCCACTGTATTTTGCACTACAAATGAGATGTGCAGTGTGCATAGGAATTCATTTATGATTTTTTTTTCAAATTATAATCTGGCCCTCCAACAGTTTGAGGGACTATGACATGGCCCTCTGTTTAAAAAGTTTGAGGACCCCTGATTTTGAGCAACCTCATCATTAGAAACCCCCAGAAACATCATTGTCATTCCCAACACCCAGAGTACCCTGATCATTAGACACAATCACATGTTGAACTCCAACACGTCTTTTAAATCAGCTTATGTGTCCATTTCACAGCCCAATCAGCTGATCAGCTGTTTCGGGCTTTTAAAAAGCAGACATGTGCTGGAACAGTCTTCTTGGGTTAGGGAAAGAAATCACATGTTTTTTTGTGAGTGCAGGGATATACAGTGATGTGAATATGCACATTTTCCACCTGGAATCGGGATAAAGGGGAACCTTTTAACCCCGTGTTTTTCAACCATTGCAGCAAATCAGCACAGGTGTACCACTGTCATGCAGCCACCTCCTCTCCTTTTAACTCAGGAAATCCCGTGTTTTAGGTGCTGTGTAGATGGGCCTTTAATATGCTGGAAACTGAATTCAAAGTGTAAAAGTTCTTTGCACTCAAGTCAGTAGGAGGGAGATGAGAAGAAGTGGGAATATTGAATTTCCCAATAAATTCAAGCAAAAAACTGGATTGTGGTTTAGACGATGAGACGACGTGGAATGGCTTTTGTTGTATTGATGATGTTTTTTGATGATGATGTTTTTGGTTAATGCTGGACTGATTATTTTAGATTGTGTCTTAAATTTTGAACCTTGTTCTTTCTATGTTGTACACCGCTGTGAGTTGCCCCCGGGCTGAGAACAGCGGTATATAAGCAAAGTAAATAAATAAATAAATAAATAAAAGCAAACTTTGTGATGTTTTCTAGTTTGTGTATTCTTCCTCATTAATAACTTTTGCCATTTTGAACTTATCCTGATGTTGATTGTTGACATGTGTTCTGGTTTTCATCTCTGAAATATTGAAGGGTATGCTGTTCACTGTCTTCACTCATTGAAACTATGTTCTTATGAATCAGTAAGCCACAATTACTATTCTTGAGCTGGTACATCACTCCCAGTTTACTGCTCCTGGTAACAGGAAAGTCTTCAGTAAGGAGAAACTCAACAATAACAAAAAGACATAGTATTATATCAAAGCTGGCTTTCCTGTCTTATCATTGTCCTAACAAGTCTCTAGAGCCAAAGTTTGAAGCTGGTTTACTATTCTGGTTGCATTGGAGAGCAACAAACCAACAGTTGGGTTTGTACATAGTGTTAACCTAAGATTCTCAAAAACTTCTGGCTTATTGCATTGTGAGCCCATAATCCAGATAGATGTGAACTGCTTGTACATGAAAATGTGAATGAATTGGCTGTAAGTCAGTTTCTGGGTATGGATGTGAAGTTAAATGTTACGGGTCTAAATCCTCACTATGCACTACTCACTATGCAAGCGTTCCTCAAAAACATGAATATGATGTGTTCCTGCAATGCATGTTTTATATGAGAAAAAAAGTGTGTGTGTGGAAGCACTGTAAACTCTTAGTAAGAGTTCATCTTTTTCACAATATTGTCTAATGCTCTTGAAAGATGGACATTAATTGGGTTGTTTTTTTAAAAAAATCCCAATTATTAAGCAGATCTTGTTGTCAGCAGTAGCATATTCTAAATTACAATACAGGTGTTAGGTTTTGCATGTGACTACTTTAAATCTCATATGACAAGATTTATGCCTGCTGGTATCTGTACAAGAGGGAAGAATAATAATCTTAATGGAGGTGGAGAAATTTTCTGTCATGTAGAAAAACAATAACTTCAGGAATATATGAGGTTGCTAGAATGATTACACTTCAATGTGCATATGCAAGAGATTAAAGAAGTATATTAACTATTGCCAAAACTGCTAAGTGTAATGATATTTTTCTGGATCAGATTTAAGAGAACATTAAAGGACAATGAAAATCTATTTTGTCAAAAAGCAATAAACAAAGGAATATCGTATTATAAATGTGACATCTCTCCCATGCTCAAGTAGATAAGACCAGAAAAGAAGAAGGAAGATTATCCATCATGTTTTAGATCATTTTTTTTAGTATGTATGTTTGTTTTGTAGTATACAATATAAAAGTAGTTTTACTGATTTCCTGCAAAACTCATATGCAGGGTGAGGCAGCATAACTTCCTTTTTTTCAAAACTTAACAAAACCCATTGTATGAATCAGAATTTTTAAAAAATTTTTTATAATGTAGGCACATATCTACAGTTTTGTTTTTCGTAGTTTTGAAGGTCAAATTAGGTAGGTGATGTCCCCCATTCTCCATACACTGAGTAAACCGATTTCTGGCATTTGTCAAGACTCTTGCCAGCATTGCAGGCGTTATGTTGGCAATTTCTTCCTGGATGTTGGTCTTCAAATCTTGTAGGGTCCTTGGACAGTTCACATAAACATGGGATTTCAAAAAACCCCATGGAAAAAAATCACAAGGGGCCAAATCTGGAGAGCGGGCCGGCCACTCCAAATCCGCTCGAAAAGTAGGCTTCAATGGCAAAAGCACGCTCCTCACTGTTCCAATGCATTATGGCGACTGAACTGTGTCAGGACAAAACTTTATACTCCCGCCTCTCGAACGAGACCACTAGCACTCCACTACGTCTTCAACCGACTGAATGGCGCACATTTTAAAAAAGGAAGTTATGCTGCCTCACCCTGTAGTATTGTTCTTGCACAGCCAATGTGCTGGTAGACTTAAATGCTCTTTAAGGAACCCAGAAATACACAGAATCACCATAATATAATAATAAGCATGTATGAGATACTCAGCCCCCCTGGTGGCACTGCGAGTTAAACTGCTGAGCTGCTGAACTTGCTGACCGAAAGGTTGGTGGTTCAGATCCAGGAAGCGGGGTGAGCTCCGCTCTTAGGCCCAGCTTCTGCCAACCTATCTGTTCGAAAACATGCAAATGTGAGTAGATCAATAGGTACCGCTATTGTGGGAAGGTAATGGCGCTCCATGCAGTCATGCTGGCCACATGATCTAGGAGGTGTATACGGACAATGCTGGCTCTTTGACTTAGAAATGGAGATGAGCACTACCCCTCAGAGTCAGACATGACTAGACTTAATGTCAGGGGAAACCTTTATCTTTGCCTTATCTGATACCCCCTCCACTCAAAAGCTTACTAATTTACTTTTTGATGTTGTTTGTTTAGTGAAGTTGCTAATTCTTTTCTTAAAGTTATTACTTTTAGTCCACCAAAAGTAGTTAATTATGTTGGCTATCATTTCAAAATGAAGGTTTATTTTTAAAAAATCTTCATTGTGAAGAAACTTTACAAGTTGTTGTAACAATTAAGAAAAGATGGGAAGTAACCCACAAATTGTGCAAATTGTCTGGTTCAGCCTTTTTTACAAGGATCAGACCAACCACAACCTAGAATTGGTTTCACACTACTTTAACTATCATGGATCCGTTCTATGAAATCATAGAATTTGCAGTTTGTTGTAGCATCAGAGCTCTTTGACAGAAAAGGGTAAATGTCTCACAAAATTACAAAAATCCCACAGGACATGGAAGTTAATGTGGTTTCATACTGCTAAAATTCTGGAGTGTGAATACAGTTCAAATTGCAGTTCATGACTTCCTAAGAGACCTTTGTGTTTTTATGTACTGTCACTCTAATGTCAAGAGGGTTGCTATATCAATGACTTTGGAGAAGATTTGGTTTCAAGTGTTTCTAATTTAAACACCACAAAATCAAGATGAGTGTGGGGATGCAGCAATTATACAAGAGCAAGTTCAAACTGATTTGCATAAAGCGGATGTTGAAAAATACATCTGTAAGTAGCTGGTGCAATTCACTGTACAGAAGGAAGCTCAGAAGTATGAGCGAAGGTGGCTTGGTTTGTTTGTCTTGGTTCAATACCACTCTGTGGCGCGATGCCAGCAAAGCTTTTGTAATGCTTCCCTCTGCTCATTTTAATAATGGTGATTTTCTAAGTGCATTACCTCATTATCTGGCTGCAAGCCAGATGTACCCTTTCTGAGAGGAGACATGCCAGATATGTTTTACTTCCTATCTATTCATCTATACTTGTTTCTTTTTAAAAATCTACTGTTTAAGAAAAATCAATAATCTTCAGCAGCTCTCAAGAGAGGTTAAAACACTACTTGACAGGCAGTGCATTTTAATGACTTGAAAACTTTAATTTCAAGCAAAGCCTCTGTATGGCAAAACTCAATTATCAAATAGTATATATAATTTCTCTCTCTCTTACATGTTTCTGCAGCTTGGGTACATGGTGACCCCAGGAAAGTGGCTTATCCAACTGACAGCTATGGGCAGTTCTGTGGTCAAAAGGACACACCTAATGAGTAAGTACCGAGGCAGTTGTTCATTTTTTGTGAAACATGGCTGAGAAATGAAGAACAGTCAACCTTCCACATTACTGTGTTTAACATTTGAGGATATTATTATTCATGTATTTGATTAATAGCTTCTCTCTAAGAATTTCTCGGTCTTCTAGGTAACTCTATAGCAAACATCTGGTGGAAGTTGATCTTAGAGTTACCATGGAAGACCTAGAAGTTTCTAGAGAGGTTATCTGAGGACCCTTCCAGACAGTGCTAAACGTCAGTTCCTCCTGGAATTTAGTCCCCACACCTCTGCCAAACCCTGTGCTTTCCCTGGGTGGCTGCGTGTCCTCCCAGGTCAAAAGGACATGTTGGGAGGTTGGAGGGGGAAGGAAGGATTTATCTCTCCCCCCCCAACCTCCCGTCACATCATTTGGTTGCATCAGAAGCTGTCATCGGGAGGCCTGCACATGCCCCCAGGACACTCTGGTAAGTTTTTGGGGCAAAATTGGGAGCTGGGAGGGGTCTATGAGATGCTATCACACTCCTTCAGACTCTTAGAGCCCAAAGAACCATGATGACAATGGGAATTGACTCCTGGGAGCATGGAACATGGTCCTGAAAGTCAATCCCCACAAGCCCACACTTGGAAAGATTAGGACCTTACATTAAGTTCCAGATCTTTCCAGGTGTCAAATTAATCTGGAGTAAACTGGGAAATCCCAGCACCCTTCAGATAGGCCCTATATCTCTGGATATGATCCCAGGTTTTCTGTTTATTCTAGATTATCTGACAGTGTGGACTAATATAATCTAGTTTAAAGCAAAAAACCTGGGATCAGATCATGGGATATAGGGCTTGTCTGGAAGGGTCCCTGGTTTAATATGGATTAATTGGGGTTTACCTGAGGCATCATTTGGATGCTTCAGGTAAACTCATAACCTGTTGCAAGTTATGGGCCTGTATAGTAGGGCCCTCAGGTTAAAATTCTGAATTCATGTTTTCCGCACTTTTGCAGTGTCCTGTACCCCTAAGGCCCACAAAAATGGAGGACCTTTATGTTTGCCAGAAATACTGTATTTGTTTTCCACCTCTGAAACTAGAGAAAGTTACTACATTCTTTAAAGTGCTCTCTACATTGACTCCAGATAGGAATGATAAAAAGCAGAACAATATCATCATGCAGACTGAAGACAATTCATAATTCAGTAACTTATTACATCATGAAGCCAAGTGATTAGAAAGCCACTGTTTATCAAATGCATTGGATATGATTAGCCAGCATTAAATGGGAATATTTAATTGACATGTCCTCTGAGAGATTGCTATATCATTCCTAAGAGAAGAATAATTCATGTCAACTGCATGTCATTATGTAAACTAACCACTTTATAATCTGCCATTACTTTGAGCCAACGGCTGAAATAGCAAGAGGAAATTCCAGTGCTTACGACTAGTAGTTTGAATTAGAGCGTTTTCCTCCTCTATGAGAAATTCCTTTAGGCTCTATCTGGATTCTTTGCTGAGAGCCAGTTCTCTTATTTCCCCATACAGTACAAATTTATATTGTAATTTTTACGCATAACCACTGATATGAGTGCAGAAGATTGCTTCAAAAATGATATAACTGACATGAGGCCAGTTGGTCATTGGCCCAAGTAGGATGTCCTACAGCCAGGCCCGTAGCCAGGATTTCGATTCCGGGGGGGGGGGGGGGGGGGGGGGGCTGAGTCTGAGTGAAAGAGGGTCTAGCCTAGCAAACCTTTTGTATTGTTACCCCAATACTCCCATGCATATGGGATATATTGAGTATGGTGATCAGATCATGATATGAATAAACATAGCAGTTTAAATAATGCACCAGTAAGGCCTTTTCACGAACCACCATGAGAATTTCGGGGGGGGGTGTGAAGCCCCCCAAGCGCCCCCCCCCCCCCGGCTACATGCCGGCCTACAGCTAAAATATTCTATAGTCCTGGCTCCCAACCTGTGCTCCGCAGAGCCCTAAGGCCACGCATGTACGTCCCATGGGGTCTATGGCTGCTCCAAAAAAATAAAACAAAAATTGAATTAAATGAGAGAATAAGAAATCAAAATAAGAAAAATAGAAATTGCATTCCAAACAGAAATTTTCCAAGTTGAATTTGCCACTGTGCAAAAAAGGTGAAACCACAGGTATCTCATTAAACATTTATACCTTATTTTATGTTATGCCTTAATTTAGATCTATTTTTGCACTGAAACACACTCTAGTTCTGTTGTAACACAAATGGTTTAATTATTGAACTTTAGAATATTTTTTTATGTATGGCCAAGTTTTGACAATATCATGTATAGTGGTGGTAGTTGAGAATGAATTGAGATATTATGGTAAATTTCAATGTTTTTAAAATACAATTTTATTGCATGGACATTGGGCAATTGTTTAGAGAACTCTTTACTTTACATTCTGTTATTAAGTATCTATCCTCTTCCTCCCCCTGTATCACTACTTCTAAACACCATTAACTTGTAAGACATAGGATAGGACTAAGGGGCTCCACCATAGAAATGTATTCCAAAAAGGGCTTTGCAAGTCAAAAAGGTTGGGAACAACTGTTTTATGGTATTCAGTTTCTTTAAAGCTTAGAACAGCCTAACAATGCAAACCTGTATGTCTACTAAGATTTCCCACTGAGTTAATTCATAGTCAGAGGCCAAATCTAACTGGTTAGGTTGACCAAAGGCCACGTGAGTGAATACTAGTGCAGCTGAAATAGGAGATTGGGAATTACTTAGGATCAACTTCATCCTGTCCTAACTTCTAATAAACAAAAGAATGTTGTCAAATGCTTTGAACAAAGTGGTATATCAACCAGGGATGGGAATCATACAACCCTTCAGGTGCTGGGTTGTTGAAGGTTTTTCAGGTTGTATGGCCATGCTCTAGAAGCATTCTCTCCTGACATTTCACCTGCATCTGTGGCAAGCATCGTCAGAGGCAAAACATCAGGAGAGAATGCTTCTAGAACATGGCCATACATCCCGAAAACCTACAACAACCCAGTGATTCCGGCCATGAAAGCCTTCAACAATACCATCAGATGGTGTTAGATTACAGCTCCCAGCATTCTCCACCATCCATTATGCTGTCTATGTTTGCTAGGAGTTATATTTCAACATCATCTAAAGAGCCACATGATTCCTAACTCACATATAAATATTTGCTGCTATGATTATTAATAGTATTCGTGCACATTCATGTATGTTCGGTATTAAGAGTCAATTCCATACTCCTGTCCACTGGGAAATCATTTTAACTATCCAATTGTGAACATTTTAATTATTTTTAAACCGTTGCTTAGAAAATAAAAAAAATGAGGTGGTCATATAGCTCTAATGGGTCATGGATTTGCTATAAGTTGATTGACGTTGATTTGCAGTAACCTTACTAATAAGAGATCTCCACGATTAAAGGTTTTCAACCGCCCTACTCAGAGCTTGCAAGCTCAGGGCCATGGCTTCCTGGATTGAGTTGACCCACGTGGAATGTTGTCTTTTTTATTGTCTTTTTAAATATCTTCTCATGGTACCATTACAACTTATCATGTATCTATTATCTAAGGATGTGTTGTTAACTCTTTAGATGTTGTTCAACCACAATTTCTATCATCCTTCACCACTGGCTGTACTTGCTATGAGTGATGCAAGTGGTGATCCAAGCACAGCCTACTAACCCCTATTGTCAAAGCCAATTGCTGATAGTCTCTCAAACAAACAAAACAATTGTTCAGTGTTTATTTTGAAATAACATGTTCCTTTCATACCATCAATTGACACTGATTCACGTTGATGCTGTTGAGTCTGTTTACACTAGGTTTCATTTCCCCATTGGGACTGTATACTTGTGTTTAAAGCATCTGTTTCTGTTGCATCTGCAGCAATAACTGGATTCCTGTAGGGAAGAGCATGAGTTACTCAGATTGAAAATATTGCATTTTAAGTGCATTGTGTGTGTTTGTGTGTGTGTGAAATAGTAAATTCTACTCATATTTACATAAAAAATTCACTTTATGGTAACTCCTGCTTTCACATATGTACACAATGGTAAACCTGAAATATGTTACGATCAATATACAGACTTTTCAGTCATTTCCAGGATGATTTGCATGCTTTAATGAATTTCAGTAAATACATATTTTAAATTATTAGTATAAGGACATGTATGCATATATTTTAGATAAAAATAGGTGGAATGCAAAAAGATTGTTTTTCAGGTCAAATTGTCAAATGGTATCCAATATACAGGAACATTGTTGAGAAATACCAGAGATTTATGATTTGTCAAGCACACAAGCTGGCTCTAGTGAATTAGAATCTAATTCATGCCTTGAGAGAAATTAAATTTGGAGATGGATGCTAATCTTTTTGTTATTGCTGTTTGAGAGCCTCGGCATGCTATAATAAAATGTAAATAAATGTTCCATTCGTTCCAACAAATATTACAGCATGTAAATATTTTAGAAGATTTGATATTTTAAAAGGGTTCCAGTGTTCATAGATCTTGAGAAAGTGGGGAACTGAACTACAATCGTGTATAATTAATTCCATTTTGTATTCCCACCAGAAGTCCTCTAGGAAATCTCTCTGTATGGTAATCTATCTATTTGTTAGCTTCCATATTTTAAGCCCTAAATTTGTTCTGCATTCTGAGGACTGTACAAGCAGCATGTAATGCAGATGACCTATAAAGAAGATAGATCTATGAGGCTGGTATTTACTTTTCTGTATAGTTACTTTGTTTCCCCTGTATCCCAATCAATAGCTAGAGCCATTTCTCTTCAAAATAAACTAGAAATTGGATAACGTTTAATACAAAGTTGTACAGAAGTAAAATATTCCCATTGCCTGAACATAATTGACCAATTGTCCTATCTACTTTTATATATTTGTTTGTTTATTTGTTTTATTTTATATTCACTTTTCCATAAAATGAAATTTATTTGGGTTTCTTCTAAATGGAAAAATCCTCTGATAGACA